TGTGCTCATAGGCCCAGCGCAGAGCTTCCGGATTCAGCGGCTCGCCGGCGCAGGTCAGGAAGCGTAGCGAGCGCAGGTTGTAGCGGCTGGCCGGCTCTTCGCCGTAGCGCATCAGCATCCGCACTGCGGTGGGCGCGGTGAATATGACGTTGACACCATATTTCTCGATGATTTCGTAGAACACCGCGTTGTGGGGGTAGTCGGGCGCGCCCTCGCGGAACACGGTGGTCGCTCCGGCTACCAGCGGCGCGTAGACGATATAACTGTGGCCGACCACCCAGCCGATGTCCGACATACACCAGAATACGTCGTTGTCTTTCACATCCCAGAAGTTCTTGAAGTGGTAGTGGGTGCCCACCATGTAGCCGCCGTGGACGTGCACTACGCCCTTGGGCTTGCCGGTAGTGCCGCTGGTATAGAGGATGTACAGCGGATCTTCGGAGTCCATCACCTCGGCGGGGCAGTCGATGGAGCTATTGGCCAGCAGCTCCTCGAAATCCACTTCCATGCCACCCAGCTCTTCGCGAGCAATCTCCCGACGCCACACGATGACGTTGGTGAGACTCTGGCACCCGACCACAGCTTCGTCGGCGATGCCTTTGAGGTCGACGCGGTTGCCGCGCCGGTACCCGTAGTCGCCGGTAATCAGCACCTTGGCCTCGGCGTCCTCAATACGGTCGTGCAGTGAACCCACACTGAAACCGGCGTACACCACGCTGTGGATCGCCCCGATGCGAGCGCAGGCCAGCATACTGATCGCGCCCTCCGGCGTGAGCGGCATGTAGATGACCACGCGGTCGCCCTTGCCCACGCCCAGCGACTTCAGTCCGTTGGCGAGGCGGTTGACCTGCTGGGCCAGCCGGGCGTAGGTGTAAACCTGCTCGGTGCCATCCTCGCCCAGCCAGATGAGGGCGGCCTTGTTGCGCCGCTCGGTGGTCAGGTGCCGGTCAAGAGCGTTGTAGACGATGTTGGTCTGGCCGCCCACGAACCAGCGGAAGTTGGGATAATCCCACTGGAAGACCTCATCCCAGCGGCGGAACCAGTGCAATTCGTCGGCTGCTTCGGCCCAGAACCCCTCCGGGTCGGCCACGGAGCGGGCGTACACGGCATCAAAAGTCGGTAAGCGTAGCCTGACCTGATACATGGGGCGGCGGCGGAATCTCGCCCGATTCCTGCAACAAATGGTCAATCTGTCCCTGCTGAACCATGAGGTAATGCCTCCTGCGATTGCTTGCTAACGCATTGTACAGCCATCGCTGAAAGTATGTACCGTCAGAAGCAATTGCCAGACCGCCACGCCGCCGCTGCGAAAGTCCAGGTGCGGGCATATGAGCACCTCTGTTTCTCCCACTCCGGAGACCTTTGCAGAAAGTGTCATTGTGAGCGTAGCGCGGCAATCTCGATGAGGCTGAACACACGTGGACTAACCGCCGTTGCTACGGCGACGGGATTGCCACGCTACGCTCGCAATGACAAAGTGGGTACGCATGAGAGGAGGGTAGAAGTGCAGGGATTGAGTCATGCCGTGGTAGAATGCCGCCATTACTGACGCACATGCGGCGGCGACGCGTTTTGAGACGATGGGCCCCGCCGATTCAGAATATGGAGGCTACCGGATGGATTTTGGACTGGAAGGCAAACAGGCGTTTGTAGGCGGCGCCAGCCGCGGCATCGGCAAGGCAATCGCCCTGGAACTGGCCCGCGAGGGCGCGGACGTCGTGGTGGCGTCTCGCTCAATGCCCGACCTGGAGAGGGCGGCAGCGGAGATCGCCGAGGTTACCGGCCGGCGCATCGTCCCCATGTCCTTTGATGCCACGCAGCGGGATCAGGTGGACCGGGTCATCAACGATGCCGCGCAGGCGCTCGGCGGACTGCAGATACTGGTGAACAGCGCATCGTTGCCCGGCGGTTCTCCTTCAGCCACCGGCCCGATCGAAGGGCTGGTCGATGAGGACCTGATCAGCGACTTCGACGTGAAGTTTATGGGCGCGGTGCGGTGTGCGCGGGCTGCGATTCCCTTGCTTAAAGCGCAGGGTTACGGTCGCATCATCAATATCAGCGGACTCAACGCCCGCAACGCCGGCAACCTGTCCGGCGGCGCGCGCAATGTGTCCATGGTTCACATGACCAAGACGCTGGCCTCCCAGCTGGGACAATTCGGCATTACGGTTAACTGCATTCACCCGGGCACCACGCGCACCGAGCGCACCCCCAGCCTGCTGGCCGCCCGCGCCGAGCAGTTGGGAGTGTCTTCCGAGGAGGCCGAACAGCAGGACTTCTCCCCCGGTTCAGGCCGTGGCAACCATATCTGCCGCATGGTTGACGCTTCTGAGATTGGTTACCTTACGGCGTTTCTGGCCTCCGACAAGGCCTGGGCCATCACCGGCGAGCTGATTGCAGCCGGCGGCGGCACCGGCAATGCGGTTTATTACTGATGGCCTCTGCCCTCACCCCGGCCCTCTCCCAGCGGTAGAGGGAGCGAGGTTGCCACGTTGGGATGGGGGCGGTGATTTCCCTCACCCCAACCCTCTCCCGCAAGAGGAGAGGGAGCCGGAGCGTAGCAATCGCCGTAACCCCCGCGTCCCCTCTCCCTTGATGGGAGAGGGTTAGGGTGAGGGTGAAAATACCGCCGCGACCATCGTTAGGGAAAACCAGCAATACGACCCCACCTTGATGGGAGAGGGTGGAAACACCGCCGCAACCATCGTTAGGGAAAACCAGCAATATGACTACACCTTTTGCTGCCCTCGCCGACGTGCGGGTGGCCGATTTTTCGGTGCACGCCGCCGGCCCATTCGCCGGCATGATTCTGGCATCGCTGGGCGCCGACGTTATCAAGATAGAGTCGGCGGCGCGGCTGGACATCACCCGTCGGCCCCACGCCATGTACGGCAAGCCGCCGTCGTCATTCGAGCAGGTCAACGCCTGCAAACGCTCGGTTACCCTCAACCTGAAGGAACCCCGGGCGCTGGAGCTGGCCTACGACTTGGTTCGCATCTCCGATATTGTGCTGGAAAACTTCAGACCGGGCGTTATGGATCGCCTCGGTTTGGGCTATCCGCAGCTGCGAGAAATCAAACCGGACATCATCATGGTGTCGTTGTCGTCCAACGGGCAGACCGGGCCGGAAGCGACCTACGCCGGCTATGCGCCGATGTTCGCGGCCCTGGGTGGCCTGGGTTACATGACGGGCTACGCCGATGGGCCGCCGGTTGAGCTCCGCCACGCCATGGACCACACCGGCGGAATGATGGCTGCTTTCTCCGCCGTGGCCGCTCTGTGCGCCCATCGCAACCATCAGATCGGCCAGCGCGCCGACGTTGCGGTGCGGGACATCGCCACCGCGTTTATGGGTCACACCCTGATGGACAACGCCATGAACGGGCGCGAAGCCGTTCGCCTGGGCAACCGCGATGATGTCATGGCTCCCCACGGCGTGTTCCCCTGCCACGGCGAAGATGCCTGGGTAACCATTGCCGTTGACGGCGACGAACAGTGGCATTCCCTCAAGCAGGCGATGGGCAATCCAGCGTGGGCTGGCAGCGATGACTACGGCGACGCGTTCCTGCGCTGGCAGAATCAGGATTCCCTGGAAGTGAAGCTGTCCGAATGGACGCGCCACCGTTCCGCCGAAGCAGTAACCGAGCTACTGCAATCCGCCGGCATCGCCGCCTTCCCCTCCCTGTCTGCCGAACAGCTGCTGAACGATCCCCATCTGACCGAGCGCGAAGCATTTCCGCTGGTTACGCATCCCACCAAGGGAGAGCAGCGCGCCGTCGCCCCGCCCTGGCGGTTCTCTGCAACCCCCGCTGCCGTTGACCGCTGGACACCCGATCTCGGCGAACACAACCACGAAATATTCTGCGGCCTGCTGGGTATGGACGAGGCGGAATTGGCCAACCTGCAAGAGGCGCAGATTGTTTGGTAACAGCACGCGTCATTGCGAGGAGCGAAGCGACGTGGCAATCTCGATGGCGAAGCCGATACCCCTCACCCCAACCCTCTCCCACAAGGGGAGAGGGGGCAGCGTGGCAATAGCAAGGGCCGGCCGCAGTCCCCTCTCCCTCGATGGGAGAGGGATAGGGTGAGGGTGAAATGGCTTGTCATCGAACCGTTACTGTGAAACGATACCCCTCACCCCAACCCTCTCCCGCGAGGGGAGAGGGAGTAAGGACGTTATATGACCGACTATTCCTCATATCAACACCTGCTCATCGAAAAGGCAGACGGGATCATCACGCTGACGATGAACCGGCCGGAGACCCTGAACTCCACCAACTTCCGGCTCCACAACGAACTGAGCCGCATCTGGCTGGACATTGCCGCCGACCCCGAGGTGCGCGTGGCCGTGGTTACCGGCGCTGGCGAGGCTTTTTCTGCCGGCGGCGATTTCGAGATGATCGAACAGGCCATCGACAACCCGGCCATTGTCGCCCAGAACACTCAGGAAGCCGGCGACATCGTCTATAACATTCTGAACTTGGACAAGCCGGTCATCTCCGCGATCAATGGAGTGGCGGTCGGTGCGGGTCTGGCGGTGGCGCTGATGGCCGACATCTCCATCGCCGCCGAGGAAGCGCGTATCACCGACGGACACATCCGGCTGGGCGTGGCCGCCGGCGACCACGCCGCCATGATCTGGCCCCTGCTCTGTGGCATGGCCAAGGCAAAATACTACCTGCTCACCTGTGAATTTTTGGACGGCAAGGAGGCCGAACGCATCGGGTTGGTCAGCATGTGCGTGCCACGGGACGAGCTGATGAACACGGCCATGCGCATCGCCCGGCGCCTCGCCGACGGCCCGCAGCCGGCCATCCGTTTCACCAAGCGGGCATTGAACCAGTGGCTGCGTCAGGCCGGCCACACCTCCTTCGACTACTCGCTGCTGGCGGAGGCGTTGGGCTTCTTTGGCGACGATGTTAAGGAGGGCCTGGCCGCCCTGCGCGAACGTCGTCGCCCCGAATATCCGTCGGCCTCGGCTTAGTCCGGCTTCCAGCCAGAATTTTGGAGAGTACCCAATTGATGAGAAAACCGCATATCTTTGCCAACAACCCGCTGAACCGGGGGGAAGTTGAACGCCGCGATGAGGAGTGGGTAGCCCGCGAAGCGACGGATGCCCGTAGCAAGTACCTGCCGTTTCGCAATCTGAACGTACTGCTGACCGACGAGTCGCCGCCGGAACTGGGCTGGCTTCCCTCCCGGCAGGTGCAGCCGCTGCCGGCCGGCGCAGAATGGATATTTTTGGGGATGCTGGACGGCGTTTCCCACTTTGCGGTTGACCTGTCCACGGACTCCGCTGCCGCTGAACGGGTTGAGCATGACACGGGGTGGCACTTTGAGGACTGCCGCAGCGCCGGCGAGCAAATGTCCAGCGTCAACACGGGGATGCTTGCCCAGGCACGGGCCCAGCTGGACTGGAACCTGCGGCATGGATTCTGCTCGGTGTGCGGCCATGCCACCAACAAGGGCCGCGGCGGGCAGGTGCGCCAGTGTCCGGGCTGCAACGCCAGCCATTTCCCCCGCACCGATCCCGTCATCATCACCGTCGTTGTGGACGTGGACGCCGACCGTTGCCTGCTGGGTCAGTCCCGGGGGCGTCTCCAGAGGATGCGCGCCTATTCGGCGCTGGCCGGCTTTATGGATCAGGGTGAGTGCATCGAGGAAGCGGTGGCGCGGGAGGTGATGGAAGAGGCCGGCATCAAGGTGAAGAACGTGCGCTATCACTCATCCCAGCCGTGGCCGTTCCCGTCCTCCCTGATGATTGGCTGCATCGCCGAGGCGGACACCACCAACATCAACATGGACAACGAAGAGATGACCGACGTGCAGTGGTTCGACCGCGCCGAGGTGCTGAAAGCCCTGGAAGGACGCAGCGAAGAGCTAACGGTACCGGGCCCCATAGCCATCGCCCACCACCTCATCAAAGCCTGGGCCACCGGAGAGAAGTTTTTAGGGGCGGTTGCCCCCTCTCCCTTGATCGGAGAAGGTTGGGGCCAGGGCGAATGATGTCCCCTCTCCCTTGATGGGAGACGGTGAGGGTGAAATGGTTTATCAGCGAACCACTACCGTGAGACGATACCCCTCACCCCAGCCCTCTCCCACAAGGGGAGAGGGGGGTAGCTTGGACGTTGCAAAGCCGGGCTGCAATCCCCTCTCCCTTTACGGGAGAGGGTTAGGGAGAGGGTGAAAATGCCGAATCTCCACGAACGCGCTAGGCAACTACGACGTGATTCAACAGATGCCGAGCGCGCTTTGTGGAGGTTGGTTCGGGGCCGCCGGTTTTCTGATTACAAATTCAGGCGCCAGGTTCCTTTGGGACTGTACATCGTCGACTTCGTTTGTCTTGAACAGAAACTCGTGGTCGAGATTGACGGCGGGCAACACTCGGAGGCGGTCGGCTACGACTCCGCTCGGACCGAATGGCTAGAGTCGCAGGGCTTTCGAGTCTTACGGTTTTGGAACAACGAAGCGTTGAGCAATTCGGATGGCATGGTGGAAGTGATCTTGGCGGAGTTGCGGCGAGGTGTTTCACCCTCACCCTAGCCCTCTCCCATCGAGGGAGAGGGGATTGCAGCCTGCTCTTGCAACGTCCAAGCTACCCCCCTCTCCCCTTGTGGGAGAGGGCTGGGGTGAGGGGTATCGTCTCACGGTAGTGGTTCGCTGATAAACCATTTCACCCTCACCCTAGCCCTCTCCCGTAAAGGGAGAGGGGACTTCGTGGGCGATGCTACACCAGTTCCAGGCGGCGGCACATTTCCAGCATGGCTTTGGCGGTTTGCTCGTGGGCTACGTCCACCATGTCTCCGGCGTAGGTTACGGCGGCGGTGCCTTCCCGGCGGCTCTGGTCCATCGCTTCCAGCAGACCCTGCCAGTGGGCGATCTCTTCGACAGTGGGTGTGAAAATCTCGTTTACGATCGGCACATGGGACGGGTGAATCAGGTTCATTCCGGTGTAACCGAGCGCTTTGATATTGTTGGCCCAGAAGCGCAGGCCGTCCAGGTCGCGGATGTCGAACCAGCCGCCGCTGACGGGCCACTGGATGCCGGCGGCCCGCGCGTCGACCAGGACCTTGCTACGTAGATACAGCGTTTCTGCGCCTTCCAGCGTCCAGCGGTAGCCGACGCTGCGGGCCGTGTCGCCGCCCTTGCCGCCGCTGCCGCCCATGTGCCCCACCCGCTCCGACGCCATCGCGATTTCATATGCCATGCGGATACCCTGCGCCGTTTCCAGCCCCGGGTCGATGCACACGGTGTTGAGTTCCATGCCGGCCTTGCGCTCGAAATACCGCAGCAGCACGTCGGCTTCCACCACATCGGCTGGCGTTTCGACCTTGGGCAGCAGTATGCCGTAGAGGCCGGGCCGGGTAACCGCTTCCAGATCGAATCCGGTCATGCCGGTTTCCAACCGGTTCACCCGCACGAAAAGCGTCTGTCCCCGCGCCGACAGCTCGTCAATCATCTTGCCCACCAGTGAGCGGGCCGATTCCTTGTCGTACTCCGGCACCGAGTCTTCCAGGTCAAGAATCAGTGCATCAGAGCCATACTGGGGCGCCTTGCGCATCCAGTCTTCCTTGTTGCCGGGTACGAACATAACCGATCGCAGGGGTTTGGTGTTGATACGAGCCATTGGGTAGTTGCCTCCTTTAGGTCAGGGTGTCATTGCGAGCGTAGCGCGGCAATCCCGTCGGCGGAGTTGCCAATCCCGCCTGCACCAACGAGATTGCCACGTCGCTGCGCTCCTCGCTATAACGGGTTATAGCCCCTCTCCCCTCGTGGGAGAGGGGTTGGGGTGAGGGGCATCTCCGGTTGGCTGCGTTAGAGCACCTCTCCCGTGGCGTGAAAGGGTTGGGGTGAGGGGGAAATGTCCTAGACGACGCCATCCTGTCCCAGCCGCTCCAACCCTTCCGCATCCACGCCGCACAGTTGTCCCAGCACCTCGGCGTTGTGCATCCCCAGGCTGGGAGCGCCGACGACATCGGGCAGCGGTTGGCCGTCGAACAGCACCGGGAAACCGGCAACGACTTCATCCACGGCGCCATCGAAGGTGGCGTTGAGCATCGGACGCAGCGCGCCCCGGTCGCGGAAATGGGGGTCGGCCAGAATCTCGGGGACAGTACGCACGGGCGCGCAGGGAACGTCGCCGGCGGACAGACATTCCAGGGCCTCGGAGCGGGTCATTTTGCCGATGCGAGCCTGCACCTCGGCCCGCGCTGGAGCGGCGTTCTGCGAACGGACCTGATAGCGGGCGAACCGCTCGTCCTCGATGAGCTCGGGTGTGCCGATGGCGTTACAAAGTCGACGCCACTGGTCGTCGCTGGCGGCAGTGATGATGATTGCGCCGTCGCTGGCGGCATACTGACCGGTCGGCCCGCTGCGGCTGTTGTTGCCGGTCCGCAACGGGACGCCGGCAGCCAGGTCTTCCTCCAGGTTTTCCATGAGCATCAGAGACGCCAGGGTGTCCATCATGGAGACGTCCAGGTAGCAGCCCTTGCCGGTGCGCTCCTTCTCGCGCAGCGCGGCCAGAATGCTGGTAGCGGCAAACATCGGGGTAACCAGATCACCGATGTAGAAACCCACCCGCGTGGGTGGGCCTCACGTCGGGTTCGCCGTTGATATCCATGAGGCCGCTCATACCCTGGATTTGAGGGTCGTGGGCCGGCTGGTGGGCGTAGGGGCCAGTCTGGCCGTAGCCGGAGATGCTGGCGTAGATGACGCCGGGGTTCACCGCCGCCACGTCGTCGTAGCCCAGGCCCAGGCGGGTCAAGGAACCGGGGGCCAGATTCTCCAGACTATATCCGACTGCTGCGCCATCTGGAGAAACAGCTCCCGTCCCTGCTCGGTGCGCAGGTTCAACGTGACGCTCTTGACGCCCTGGCTGCGCTTGAGGAAACGGGTGGCGATGTACTGCTCGGAGAGCTGTTCGCTCTGGATGCCGTCGGGACCGGCGAAGGGGCCGTTGCCGCGCACGGGATCCCCCCGGCCTGGTATCTCTATCTTGATGACCTCGGCGCCCAGGCGGGCCAATGTCATGCTCAGAAACGGGCCGGCCAGGAACACCGTAACGGCCAGAACCCGCAAATCCGAAAGCGGCTGCATGATGAACTCCGATGTATGCTTAGGTGGGGCGAGTTTACCACGGGGGTGAAACCAAATCGGTCGGGGATTCGTATCATCGTGGATTGGACGAGGCGGAAGCGTTCCTCGGGTCCCGCTGGTCGGTGTGGATGGAAATGTCACGGACGCAGCTTTCCCGTCGTCATGGCCGCATCATTGTCCATGTCCATCATATGGGTGTTGCCGGCCTGGATTCTGACGGCATATTTCGGGACGTTGAACGCAGACATCACCTACCCGGTTGTCAAACTCTACCGGCCCAAAATCATTTGGCATGGTACTCGCCTGATCCATCTCGTCCATCGCGCTGTCCGGGCGGATGTTCTGATGGTGGCCGCTCATCGTTGCGGCGTGGGTGGGCATGAACTTTGCCATCATCGGGTCGATAACCCTGTGGATTTGGGCGAACGTGGCGCTGGCGTCCTTCCAACTGCCGGCCAGCGTCATCACAGTGCTGATCGCGGTTATGCTGTGGCGCTAACTAAAACGACGCCACCCTGCGGATCCAGACCCAGCCCCTCAACTGGACCCTCTCCCAGATGGAGCGAAGGTCGGCTGACCAAGGCATACAACCCTCACCCCATACCCCTCTCCCACTGGGAGAGGGGTATGGGGTGAGGGTTGTACCCCGGGAGCAACAACTGAAGGAATAACTGAATGAAGGTAAACGACATACACTCCAAGCTTAATGCCGTCGACGTGCAACGCGTGATAACCACCGGCAGTGGATAACCTGACGCAATCCACCTTCCGCCAACGCTGTGCCTCGGCGTTGACCCACCCTCTCACCGTTGGTGCGTTGGGCGTGTTGTTGCTCAACGACCTGGTGCTCAAGCAACTGTGGGCCAATCCGTGGACGACGGGGAAGCTCAGCGACCTGGCGTGGGTGGTGTTCGCGTCGCCGCTGCTGGCCTGGCTGCTGTCGCTGGTGGCCCGGGAGAACCGACGGGGGCAGCGGGCGGCGTGGATTGCGGCCTACATCGGGCTGCCGCTGCTGTACGCGGCGTTCAACACTTTCCCTGCTGTCCACGATGTAGTCCTGAGTGGGTTTTCGTTGGTATCGGGAGGCACCGCCGGCTCGCCATTGGACCCCACTGACTCGCTGGTGATACCGGTAGGCTTGGCCGTTTCGTGGTGGGTGTGGCGACGTGGCAACGCTGGAGCCGGCGTCCTGCGCCAGCGGCTGGTCCTGCTGACGGCCGGCGTGGCGGTGGTGGCGTCGGTGGCGTCAACAATTGTGGAGCCATTTCACGGGGTTATGCAAGTCTGGTCGGTTGAGCAGGGGATTGTAGCGATCTCCGGCAGAAACGAAGCGTCATACGTTAGCGCCTCCGGGAACCAATACTACGAAAGTCAAGACGGAGGACTGACTTGGTACGTTACCGACGACGTTCGGGCTGAAACGACCACTGGAAACAGTCGGAGAGTCCAAACGCCCGCCGGTTGGTACAGCATTCATGGCACGGAGTTGGTGCTGGCCGGTCTGGACGGGTGGTCTAAGGTGGTTTATTCTGCCGACTTTTTGGGTGGAAGGGCAAATCGGTGGCTCCAGGAACAATCTTTAGGGCGATCGTTGCAACAACGGGTCCCCCACCGTATGTCCGGAATAACCTACGACGCTGATTCTGGCAACGTGATCGTAGCGGCGGGATTGAGCGGCGTAGTAGTAGGGACTCCGAACGGCGAATGGCAGCGGGTGGACGTTGGCAGCACCGTCCCCCTCCAACCCGTGGAGTTATCGCCGATCGATAAGGTCGAGTTGTTGCTGTCCAACCGGGGCTTTTGGACGGTCGCGCTTTCGCTATCGATCGCGGTCATCGCACTGGCAATCGCCCTTGCGGGTGCGTTGGCGGCAGCGGCGGGACAAGGGACTATAGGCGAAGGCTCCACGGGGTTCCGAATTGGCCTGGTTTTGGTCCTTACCGTGCTGGCGGGGTTCATCGCGGCGATATTCCTCCTTACTTTCGGCGCATCGGCTGTCCCCTCGTCCACCATGGTGTGGTTGTTGAGGGTGGCAGCCCTGGCATTGGTGGCCTATTCGGGAGCGATGACGCTATCCACGTTTCGATCGCAGTCGGATCATTGGCCTTCCATCCTGATTGCGTTCATGAGTGTCAACGCGTTGGTGTTAGTGGCTTTTGTCGCCTGGGTGCAGTGGAATTTCAGCCTGTTTTATGCCCGGAGCGGTGTCGGAGTAACGGTTATCTTGATCACAGTATTGTTGCTGCGCCACCTGCACTCCAAACAGCCCTTTCGCAGAACCCGGAAACCACCAATCTCCGGATAGATGCCCTGCGGGCCGACGTCCCGCGATAACCAATTTGATCGCCTGTGTCCAGCCTGGCTCCAAGAAAAATCCTGCTCATCCCGTCCATCCATGTTAGATAAGGCGCATGCGCTACCCCTGGGCCAACATTCTGCTTATCGTG